AAAAAAAAAAAAAAACGGGAATTGAGACAGATTTGGATAAGAACACATTAGTTTATCAATGATGTATATTACTGAATTGATTTGATTTTTAACTGTTTTAATAAGAAAATAAAATATAAATGAAATGTTAGCTAAAGAAAATAACTAGAAAATGTATGGTCTCAATGTGCATCCATTTAGCTATGAATGTCTTTAGTTTCTTGTTCTTTATGGCTGAGTAGTACTCCATTTTATGAAAAGAGGAAAAAAAAACACATTTTCTTTATTCAGTCTCTAGTAGATGGGAACTTGGGCTCTTTCCAAGCTCTAGATATTACAAACTGTTGCTATAAATATGGGTATTGTTTGCTTTAAATGTACCAATAAACTTAATGGGGGAAAAATGGGTGTGCATATATCACTGTGGTATGATTCTTTTACTTATTTTGGGAAGACGCCCAGCAGAAGAATAGCTGGGTCAAATGGGACCTCTAGTCCTAGTTCTTTGAGATATCTCCATATTGATTTCCACAGTGCTTACAGCAGTCTGCTCTCCCACAACAGTGGAGAAGGATTCCTTTCTCCCCACAACCCTTCCAGCATTTGTTATTGGTTGATTTCTTAGTAGCAGCCATTCTTTCTGGGGTGAAGTGGAAATTAGAAGTGTAAATAATGAGGAAAATATATAATTTATAATGTGAAATAGGAAGAAGAGGTCTAAAGGGGTAGGGGAAGTGGGAGGGCTAGGGGAAAATAAAGGAAAAGAAAAATATGAGAAAAGCAAAAAAAAAATTGGTAACAAAGTCTTTGTAAACAGGAAAGGGTGGAGGGGGTGAAGGGAGGGCAGGGGAATAGGAAAAAAATAAGAACCAAGATATATCATGTAGAGGTACAAGTTCCCAATGATGAATGCAACTATTGTATACCTAAAATGTACCAATAAACTTAATAAAAATCATTGCAATAATGAAATATATTTTCATAAATTAAGTAGCAGCTAAGAATGCCATAAAATTATATAGCTAAAGTCATGACAGCCCAGGTGATAGGATGGAAGTTATACTGCCATTTAGCAAGAGAAAGGGAACTTCACTCTTAATATTACAACTTGCATCTGATGCACCTTTTTTTTCTAATTGTTATACAATCACACATATAAAAATATTTATATATTTGTATTATCTTTAATATTTATATTCCTGTTTTTATAAAATCAAAGATATTTTAAATTTGATATAAAAGCCAAAATACTAGATAAGACTGTTTTTAGAGTTCACATTTCTTAATGCAAGTGTGGGTTGCTCAATAGTTAGGGCTGGCTCTGGTCTTGTTTTAAATTTAAGCCTTGTTGCTTATAATTAAAAATCTTTATTGATCTAATAACATCATAAAAGTGGTTTTCTGCTAAGCAATATTTCCAAACTTTTATTGAATGGCAAGTATGAGTTACAAATTCAGCGTGGCATGCAATACTTTCTTCTAGGAAAAAAAAAAAACTTTCCAAAGATATCTCTAAATTTTTGAGAAGATATAATTGAATCTGTCACTATTTAATAGCATGTTATAAGAAATGCTAAATATTCAAAATGTGTAATCACCTGACTGGAAATTCAATTCACTTACCCCCATTTTGTTTCTCACAGATACCAGGATGAAGGTCCTGCTGGGCAGACTAAATCAGCTCCCACACCAGACACTGGACGGAGTGTCCAGAAGGAAGCTCGGTCACCGCCATGCCGCCGTGCCTGCTCCCAGCACTGCCAGCCTCACATCCCAGGGGCACACTTCTGCTCCGGGCTCTCCTGCTAGGCAGGTGCACCTGCCAGAGACTAGGAACTGGAAGGAGACCCAAGAGCAGTTGCTCCGATATCAGCTGGCACATCCGGATCAGCTGCTGCTGCTGGGCCCAGACCTCAGCCAAGACAGGCAGCAGTGGCAGGGACAGCTGAGTGAGGAGAGGGGCAACTTAGGCCTTTCCCAAGAGAAGAACACCTCCTGAGACGCATTCTGTCTCCGTTCAGCACAGCCAGAAACTATTCAGGAGCAGCTGTGATTAGGAGGGATATGGCCATTTATGCTGAAAGGCAGAATGTTCAAAATATTTCTAATGATAAGGGCAGAAAGGGGTGCCTGATCTGTGTGGACCAAGGAGAAGGAACATGGACTCTGAATCCATTTTTGAAGTATAGAAGGGGAAGAAAGTTGTATAAATGCTTATAGATGGAAAGAGTGTCTGATAGAGTTTTGTCTCTTACCTCTGATCCTACTCCAATACCAGACAAATCATCTGATTTTAAACACTTTTTCCAACTTAGCTTTAATTTAAACTAGTTGTGATTCTATTTCACCAATTTAATAATCATATAATACTGATTTATATTAGAAGAGATTTTTCTTAAACTTCCCCTGGGATGAGGACTCAACATTTTGGGCATGTCTTTATGGAAAATAGAGAGAAGTTCTTGTCGGCTAGTTATTTCTTCAGTATTACAGAAACACATTCCTTTACCCTATAGGAACCTTATAGGGACATTGCAAGGACAAGAGAACATCCTGCTTCTGATTTATCAGAGCTTACTTTCCAACCACAAGGCCACTTCCTGCTTTTTCACAGGTGGATTTTATTTCCTGGCTTAAATCCCGTCATTACTGGCAGCCCACATCAGTGCAAGTATATGATGTTGTACTAAAAAATGCTTACATTTGAAAATTTTATTTTCATGGGCTTCACTGAGATTTTAGCTAAAGACAAAGATGTAAAAGTACCAAGTTTGGAGAAAGAAATTATCTGTGGACCACAGGTACATTTTTTAGTGGTTTTCTCCATTAGTACCTGGATCAAATTTGCAATTAGAGGAAAATTATGTTCAGAGACCACAGATAGCCAGATAGCAAGTGGATCACCAACTAACTCCTTCATCAAGCAACTACTTTTTCCTTTTTCATTAAGAAAATGCACAGAGCTACCTAGGAAAAGAAAGAAGAGATTGCAGCAGGTGCTAACATTCTAGGCTTTCTAAGACTCTACGGGAGAGCAGAGCAAAGGATCATGCACTGACAAACTGAATAAGGATATAAAACTGATTTAACTTCATCTACACATTTGCAGAGGGCCCCTCTCTGTTCAAACTAGAGGATAGGTTTGGTAGCCTGACTTTATTCTTGTCTCTGTACCTGCAAGTCTTGACACTCCAAGACTATAAGGCAAAAGCAGCAGAAGTGAGGAGAAATTTCATAAAGAGTTTGCTCTCAGATTCTCCTAAGGTGTAAACCAGGATTTCTCAATCTCTGAAAAACTAAGGTGCTATCCTGCATTAGAGTTGGAACAGGGAAAGAAAACATGTTCCTCTGTTGCTGAATTTTAATAATGAATCTATCTATCTAGTTAGGACCCATCGGAGGAACTGGCAAGAAGCCATTCTCTATGTTGTGTCTATGGGGAGGTATGTCTCATGCTAGCATGTGTTACCAGGAATAGTCTCAGCCTCTTTGTCTGTTCCCAAAAGTGTCTTGTAGATATCTCCATCCTAAGCTGCCCCAGAATGGAGGTGGGCAGCTTTTCTGTAGCAATGTGTTGGATTCAGAGGGAGGTAGAAATAGATATTAAGGGTGGTGTCTCTAGGAGATTACAGTCTATGCTATTTTTGTGCAAGGAGGCCACCAAGGAGCAATCTATCCTATAGAAATTTACTCTGAAAGTGTAAACTGGCAGCCTGAAGGGAAAAAAATCATCTTTGTTGCTGATGTGTTTTGGGGGCCACCAACAGTGCTTGAAAACACAAGAAAGAAAAAACAAAAAATAAAAAACAAAACAAAAAAACAACTTCAATGACAGGCAGAATATTACTATTAGAGATTAGTCTATGTCATAACATTATGAAAGGCTCGTTCTTTACAAAAATTACTTAGTTGAATTATTCCCTTCCAGCTGATGCTCTAACTGTAAATGTATAAAATTACTGTTCATTCAAGTTTGCAATCTATATGTAAAATGAGTATGAACAAAGTGTAGCATAAATCACATGCAAATATTAATGAAACAGACATCTATAAAATTATACATGACAATAACAGTGAAGAATTTTAATTAATTGCATCATTTAAAATTCACGCAGTATTCCATCTTTTGCTTCCAGAATGTTTTTAATATTAATCTTTTTTTTTTTTTTTGGTACTGGGGATCGAACTCAGGACATCACATTTGTGAGAAAGGTGGTGAAACCACTGAGCCAAATCCCCTGCCCTTTAATGTTAATCTTGAAAAAGCTCCACGTAGAAGGAATTAGGTACTATTGAAGAGAGAACAATTTATTTCAAACTATATTGTTTCACTGTGACCAACTACAGACATTTGAGAGACAAATCACATTCCCAGGATGTAATTTTTTACAAAAGGAATAAAATATTTTATAGTGTTAAATGGGGCTTATATTTTACAGTACAGATATTTTTGTGTTAAAAAACATTTGTTAACACTTGTTATTTTTATGCTTAAATAACTTACTAAAATGATTGGGATCCCTTTGCTTGAAATAATTATTGCCATCAATCTGGTTTGTTTTGAGATAGAGGATTCATTTATTGCATTCATAGGACTTTCTAAACTTTACTGGAATTCAAAGAATTGATTGTTTTTTTGGCATATTTTATTTCAGTCTCAGAATGATCTTACTTATTATGTCTCTTATTTCACAATTAATAGCTATAACAAGAAGATGAAGAGTCAGATTGCTTTTAGAAAATGGGAAATAATCACTCTTTTCTCCATTTCATAGGTGAACAAACAATTAGTTGCCATTACTCTTAATGGTCCAAGACAAATTGAAAATTTGCATCTTCTTACTTTTTATAATTTCCCAAGTTTAGTGGTACATCCATCTAGTAAAATAACTGATATAGAAAATTATGTAGTTTATACTATTACACTAATAATTATAAAATATACATATCCTCTCTGTAAGCTGTTGAACATAGAAAAATCATGAAGAAGTATCAAAGAAGGTTTTGTAAATAATAGTTATTTCTGAGTAAGGAATATGGGTTGATTCATGCATCAAATTTTATATCCTTTGTATTTCAGTATTTTTATAAATCCATATCACTATGAAAATAAATTTAAAGCTATTTTATTTAAATTATTGACTATAGTTTTACAATCTCTTTAGATTACTGACAGAAATGAGAAATGTTTATAAGAAATACCCCTAGTTCTTGAAGGAATAGTGAGGCATGTACACAGAAGGACAATACCGAGTAGAAAATAGGTATACAGGGAGGCTAAGAAGGAATAAAAGGCAAAGTAAGAAAAATCTATAGATGAGGAAAAGATATACTGTGGTAAGCAGTTGGTAAAGTGTGGCCAAACTACTTTCCCAACACAGTGTCCCTGGCATTAAGGAGATGCCCCAAGGATTACTTCATATGTAGGACTGACAAGACAAAAAAAGTATATAGCTATGACCTTTATATCTGTCAATAAAATTCAGATATGAGAAGGCCACTTTCTATCACACATTTGGAGGAAATGCTAGGGAGCAGAAGCTCGTTATGGGTCAAGGGTGGAATCCACAGGATACTCGAGTACTGAGAAGGGCCTGTGTGATAGCACACCTTTCTCTATCAGGTTAGAGCCACATTTTGTGGCTCTAATTCAGGCCCACAAAATTTATTCTAAACCTCCACTGGGGAGTATTATTCTGAAAATAAAGTTAGCAGCTGTCGCTGTACACTTATTAGAGAAGTTCCAGAGATTAAGACTCTTGTGATAAAGAGGCTATAGTCAAGAGGCTATAGACTTCATTTGCCAATAATGATGTGACTTGAGAAATATAATGCTCCAAAATTGCCTTAAATTTTCCTATGAATGGCTAACCCTAGTGCATGTCCACTGTTTTGTAAATCTAAAAGACCTATAAATTTAGGCTATACATACAGTAATAGCAAATACTAAGTCCCTGCAAGTTTATATCCTACTCTTGATGATGTCACTGCTTTAATTATCATCTGTTTTTTACATCATCTATGTCTCTCCATCTACCAGTTTATTCCTATGACTGTCCAAGATGGTTAAGTAGCTCCCACCCTAAAAATGAACAGAAAGATTCTTTGATCCAATAGCTCCTTTCAAAACTCTCTCATTTTTCTAATCTTATTTCAGAAAAACTATAAGATTTTAATTTACACATATCAGTACTTCTTTGGTTTCCACTCAATCTACAAACACTTTGATGTGTCATCTGGCACCTCAGAGTAAAGGCTGTTCTACTGAAGATCACAAGTGATCTTTGTGTTGCCTGTTGTGAGGAATGATTCTCTGACTCATCTTTCATTACTTCCAGGGGCATCTTTTTCTCAAGCACCACTACCCTCTGTTGATATTTTCTTTCTCTAGTTTCCTCATATGTATCTATATATATGCAATTATCTCTCTATAAACAATGGGGTAAAGGCTCAAATCTTGATCTCTGATCCAAAACTTATGCTTTGGCTAGTCCAGTCTAACATGGTACTGAGAAAGAACATGTAAAAGTTCAGGACTTTTAATACATGTTGCCAACTGCCTTGCTATGGACTGATTGTATTCTTCTCAAATCCTTACATTGAAACCCTGGTTTCTAATGCCATGATATTTGGAAGTAGGGCCTTTAGAAGGTATGTAAGATTACATTTAAGGCAGAGGTCTTCATGATGGATTAATAAAGGAGAAAGATATATAAGAATCTCTCTCTCTCTCTCTCTCTCTCTCTCTCTCTCCTCTCTCCCTCCCTCCCTCCCTTCCTCCCTCCCTCCACCCCTCCACCATATGAGGAAATAATAAGAAATCACCCATCTGCAAACCAGAAAGAGACAGCCCTCTTCAGGAACTGAATCTACTGGCATCTTGAACTTTAGATTTTCCAGTTTCCTGAACTATGAAAAATAAATATTTTTTGTTTGTTTGTTTAAGCCATTTAGACTCTTATAACTGCTGTAACAGTTTGAACTGATAAGCTACTCATGGATACTCACGTCATCAATACACAACATGCCTTTTCTCTATATTGTTGTAGTTCTATACTTTAAAGTTTGGCAAATTTGAAATGACATCTTATTGTTATTTCTAATGTATTAAACTATATATTTTAATAATTAATATTTTATATAACTGATATATTTTAATAATTAAAAGAATCATATCACTGTGATATATGCATGCCTATGTTTATAGCAGCACAGTTTGTAATAGCTAAAATTTGGAAACAGCCCATTTGCACATCAGTTGGAGGCTGGATAAAGAAGATGTGGTTTTTCTATTAACAATATATTTTTGCACCCTTGTCTCAATCCAGTCTCACCCATCTATTTTTTTTTCCATTGGATAGTGTAATCAATAATTTCAAATATTAACTTGATGCTTTTATTTTGTCTGAGAAATGTCTGTTCATTTCCGATGCCCATTTTTTAATCAGACCTTTATATTTGGGGAGGGCTGATTTTTTTGAGTTCTTTATATACTGTAGGTAATAGGCCTTTGTCTGAGGAGCAGCTGTTAAAAATTTTTCCCACATTGTAGGTTGTCTCTTAGTTCTGTTGATGGTTTCTTTTGCAGTGCAGAAGCTTCTTAATAATATGAGATCCCAGTTGTTGATTCTTTCTGCCAGTTCCCTTGCTACTGAGGATTTGTTTATCCCTCTGCTGGGTATCTTTCCAAAAGAATTAAAAGAATCATATCACAGTGTTATATGAACACCTATTTTTATAGCAGCACAGTTTGTAATAGCTAAAACTTGGAAACAGCCCATTTGCTCATCAGTTGGAGACTGGATAAAGAAGATGTGGTTTTTCTATAAAACGGAATACTTCTCAGCCATAAAAAATGAGAAGTTAGACTCATTCATAGGAAAATGGATACATATTGAGGATATACTCCTAAGTGAAATAAATAAGTCACACCTGTATAAATACCGAATAGTTTCTCAGGTGTGAAGAACTATAATGGCACATAAGATCCTAATGATATACTTGACCATGTGAAATAGGAAGAAAAGGACTAAAGGTGTAGGGGAAATGGGAAGGGTAGGGGAAAGGTAATAAGGGAAAAGAAAAAAAACATGAGAAAATGAAAATATGGAAATAAAATATTTGTAAATAGGGAAGGGAGGAGGGGGTGAAGGGAGGGCAGGGGTGAGGGGAAAAAAATGAGAACCAAGACCTGTCATGTAAAGGTACAAGATCCCAATGATGAATCTAACTGTACTGTGCACCTAAAATGTACTAATAAACTCAATGAGAAAAAATAATTTCAAGATTTTATTAACAATCATTTTAAATTATTCCTTTAATCTTTGCATTTCTTCATTCAAAAATAATTTTAATATTTGAATTGTGTTTTACAAGCAAATGTTAAACAACTATTTAGATATATGTTTAACTTTGCTTCTATGTTCACAGATAATCTTTTACATAATGGTTCACTTATAATCCATTAATTTTATTTTATATGAATATATTAACATGCATTTTCTAGTTTTTATTTAAAACAAAGACAGTTTTTTGAGGCCCTCTCATACATGAAAACAACTTGGCTAAGTTCAGAATATTTTTATCACTGTACTTGCAAAGTTAGGGAAGCATTCCAGTATTTTCTAATTTTAGTGCTTAGAAGACAAAAAACATTGTGGTTTTGTTTCTGTCCAGAAATATGAAAATCTTTCTTCTATGTTGTTTTAATGAAACACTTTGATAATTCTCTGGGTAAATACAATTACCTCTAAGACTTTCTATTGTTTAGTCTAATCATATGATAGGCAATAATAATTGCAAAGAGAAGGCCATAATATTTTTAGCAAAAGAAAAAGTCTTTAATGGGAAGAAAACTTAAGTGAGACTTAAAACATTGGTAGAATTTAAACATATAAAAAAAAAATATATATGATATTTTAGATAAGGGAAAATGTGTAACTACAAGAATTTTTCACCCCTAAGTCATTGTTTCTTCAATGTTGAATTATTGCTGTTGCATATGAGAAATAAAAGGCTGAATGAATAATTAATAACAATTTTAGGCATGTGTAATTATATTAAAATATGATAGAAGTGGTTTAAACTTAGCCTGGGACAGATGGAAGGATACTCACTATTACAGATTAGGCTTTAGGAAAAAAATTTATTGCCTAGAAAATTGTCAGTAAATATTCTGAATATTTCAGGATCTTACTTTTTTGAGATTTTTAAGGTATAGCTAAATTCTACTTCTCTAATCTAGATTATATACTAAAAGTCATAGCGTAAATAACCTCAAATCATCTCCTTTCCTCCTATGTCAAATGAGGCTTGGATAAGAGAGTCCCAGCTGGTACTGCCTTCAGATCCAGCCAGTGAGCTGTTCTGCCCCAGACACTGTGGTCCTGAGGGCTCCACTTGGACCTTAGACATTTCCAGGTGCATTC